GCGCATACACCGTCACGAAAAACCAAGACACTGAAGTTAGCTTCTTCTCCTTCTTTGATTTATATGGCCATTGCCTCCTAGTCGAAATGATTTGGCCAGACTCCTCCTGTCCATAGTGAACAGAAGTTTCATACGTGTTTACAGCTATTTTGCACGAGGCAATGCTGCCATCCTAAGTTTTCCCATCCACTTTTTCTATATAAAAACACTTAATTTTCCACAAGGGGGCCGTCAATGCTCTCAACATGTATTTCACTCCAATATTCATTGTAACTTGACTATTTTTTGAAATACACACCACTTCTAGACCACGACATTCACATATCATCTTTGAGGATGGTCGTTATCGGCACAACCGTCCTCTGTCGCGATCGGGGAGGAAGTCCCTGAAGTTAGCTAGCCGAAATTTCAGTTTCTCAAAAAAGTTTACCAACAGAATAAAATTTAAAACATCTACGTATGCTTACGCAAGCTTTTATGCCTCTCACCAACAAACCAAACATGCTAAACAGCTGAAACTGTGAACATTATGTTCGAGACGAGTGTACAAAAATAAAAAAAATTACAAAATCTCTAATCGAATAAACGTAGCCTGCAAAATTTTAACAATTACCTCATTTCTTGAACAGTCCACTATTTCCCTTGAGAATACGTTATCACTATAAAAATATTTCGTTGAGAAATCTTAAATCAAATATTAATTTTCGGAAAGAAAGTTTTTGGCTTTCTACTACTCCATTTTGATACAAAAAAAGGATGAGGGAATCTTCCAAAGAATGGAAGAATGTTTGAAATACAAACTGAGGAAAGTATCTTCTGTATAATTCAGTGTTCATATTGAAGTATTTGTTTCGGAAGAATTTTTTTCTTTCGTGTAATTCAATGTTTATATGAAAGTAGCTGTTTCAGGAGGACTTTCTTTCAGTTTGTGTCTGAAAGTTACTTCTTTGCATGTTCTACACATCCATGTATAGAGTTCCTTATTTTCAAATTGATTACTTTCTTTCTTTCTTTGGAAGATTCCGATATTTTTTGTATCAAGATGGAGTAGTAGAAAGCCAAAAACTTTCTTTCCCAAAAATGAATCACTCCCAGAAATATAACCACTTCAATTCAAATGAGATTCCTCTTGGCTGGGATTAAATTAAATAGGTGAATGAATGTCAATACGATGTCATCGATGACATAAGCAGAGCAAGCTTATTCCGTGACATTGAAAATCGTATCATGAATGAATTGTGTGTATTTTCTATAATGTTATCCAATTTGGTACTGAAGAGCCTTAGGGCAAGTGTCTCAAGGCGAAACATCGATGTATACCGTGTTAGGAATCACACGTTAAAAAGTAAGACCTCGTTTCTTCTGAGGGTTGTTGCTCGTAGGAGTGCGACAGATTGTTAACGGAAAAACAGATTTTAAACCAATTAAACAGACAGAGGATGACAATGTTCCATGTAAGTTCAATTTGTTACTAGTCATTTAAAGTAGAACTCATGTGAATGATATCTGATTTTTATTCCACAACGAGTGTTTGAAATACAAACTGAGTAGAGGAAAGTATATTCTGTATAATTCAGTGTTCATGTAGAAGTATTTGTTTCAAAAGAATTTTTTCCTTTCTTTTATATGAAAGTAGCTGTTTCAGGAGGACTTTCTTTCAGTTTGTGTCTGAAAGTTACTTCTTTGCATGTTCTACACATCCATGTATAGAGTTCCTTATTTTCAAATTGATTACTTCCTTCCATTCTTTGGAAGATTCCCCCATCCTTATTTTGTATCAAGATGGAGTAGTAGAAAGCCAAAACTTTCTTTCCCAAAAATGAATCACTCCTAGAAATATAACCCCTTCAATTCAATTATTATTATTAGTTTTCTTCAAAAGACGAACTTGTTGCTGAATATTTCACCACAAAATTGTTATGAAATTTCCATTTCATAGGTTTTGTTTTCTGTATCCTTAAAGACTAATTTGGAAAAAGGCTAGGGGTGACCAGGTATGGTTGTCTCACGGGTTGGTTGTCATAGCGGCCTTACTGAAAAATTGAACGAACAAAAGAGTTTATCGAGTAAATTCGAAGGATCACATAAGCAATTCCTCCGTTCAAACGTCACTTCAGTTCACTCTCATACTGACGGAGATACGTACATTTGTTTTATTCGGACGGGCGAAAGTAAATTTTTGCACATTTGTGTCGAGTTTCATAAGTATACTATAATTTTCCGCGGTTCATGTGGTTCATGATATCACTATCCGTTTTTATGAATAAAAATTGATTCAACATCTTTTTAAATTTTTATTCAACGTATGCAACGAATTTGTTCTTGAATTATTTTAAAATTTTTCCATCAATCAGAAATGATTTTTTTTTCTGATTGATTCGGCCGTTACTTGATGAAGATCTATAGTAACTTCTTAAACTACACCTCACGATTTGATCTCCATAAATTGTATTTGAAAAATATATCACCACATGTTTTGCTAACACAGTAGCTTTTTCAACAGTGATTTGAATCAAATTACTTAAATCGTGAGGTGTTGTTTATGGGATCAAAACAACTGCAGTATGAAAATAAATCCTCAAATCATTAACCCTGATATTTCAAAACTACTCACACCGTTGGCAGAAAAAAACAATGCCGATAAAGCTAGCAGAAACCACATTTCTAAACGCCTTGATTCAGTTGTGGAAAGAGAACAGAAAAGCTACAATTATTGTACCTCAGGTAGTAGGTATTTTATAGATCCATCTGACCAATAAAACCGTTCACAGATAATCAATTCATTCAAACAGTTCAAGCTACGTAATATTTCATCATATCAAGTATTAAGTGGAATTCATAAGCATTCAGGTATATCTCGTTAACCTTGGTGAAAACTTTTTGTATTTTCATGACAAAAACGATTGTTTGAGGCTGTTTTTCAGACTATTGTATCGTATATCCAGATTACTGGATGTTATGCGAATCTGAATACTAACAATTGAAATCACGTTGATTAACTCTATTTCAAATAGACACACATTTTCAGCCAATGTAACTCTGAACATACGTATATCACTCAACTATAGACCTAGTTGATCAATTTCAAAAAAATAGTGATCCGTCACGGGACGCTTGGCAGATGTGAAACATCAATAATAATATTTTGTGACCCATATGGTGATTGCTGGGTACTGAAATATTTATGGATAATGTGTAATCAAAATATACATGAAACCATTTTGATGTGGCTTCAATATACTATTTAACTCAAATATCTCAGCTAGTCATTGCAATGATCAGTTTATTTTGCACAAATTGAGTCCCATTTACGTTATGGAATTTGTTTCTGAGGAAATTGTGCAAAATTTCGTTTCAATATGGTATTTCCTCTACAAAAAAGATCCATCAGATATTTATGCAAGGCTAGCTACAGGGATTCATGCCACCCATTATTTGTGAAGCAACAAATTCTGACTTTAGTATGTCTTTTTATTTTGAAAACAGTGTGTCTTATCCACAAAAAATATAAAAATCAATTTAGTAACACCTCGACACTCCTCTTACTCCTCACACCTCTTACTCCGTTTCCCTTCCTACACCTTCTCTATCCCTTACACAAAATTATATTATTATCAATAGCTATTTAACCACCTTTCCATTAATTTAAGGCGAATATATAATGGAAAGGAATTCAGAAAGAAAGTAAAAGAATTCCTTGTTGGGAGGCCCTATTATAGTGTGGACGAATTCTACCAAGGCTCTATCGAGTAATTGGCATGTAGCTTTGTGTAATCAAGATATTGAAACCAACACGAAATGGCTATCAATGTTCATCATGTAGCATTATATATTAACATTTACTTAATATTCATAAATTCATGTACTTATATTTGTATCTGTTCAGCTGGGCTTAATATTATTCTGTCTATATACTCTGCTCTTGTCTTTAAAGTTTTATTTGTTCATTTTCCTATATACATGTTTCACTTTACTAGACTTTGCCAATGAGATGCTCAGATCTTGGGTAATAAAGCATATTTTGATTTGATTTGATATTACTAAAGATCTTAAATGATAAATATCACTAATACATGTTTCAATATAAATTCCACCATCATTAGAAAATTAATAAATGTTTTTAATGTTTCTGTTAATAACAAATAAATGTTAGATGCTTGTCCCACTCGGCATTGCCCGGTGAGATATCATTGCAAGGACTTATGCAGCGTGTCGTTGCTGTGCCGTTGTTTCCGGTTTCAAGGTCAAAATACTCCGGAGGTAACATAACTCCCCAATCGAATCTCCAGATGGAGGCTGATTCGAGGGCACTATTTTTGACAGTCAGCGGGGTCCTTCTAACATCATTCCATAGGGGAGTAGGGTGATAACTGCAATTGCTAAGAGGCTCGCTAGCAACTTCAAAATGGATTTCTGCAACATCAGAGGATTCAACTCAAATATAAACTCAGTGTACCAACATCTGCAAAAAAATAGTCCTCATATTCTTTCATATTCATCCCTATGGGATGTCCACAGGGAGGGGTCTTATCACCCCTCCTCTGGAACATAGTTCTGAATACCCTAATTAATCACCTTAACAAAAATGGATTCTACACAATTGCATACGCAGATGACATAGTTATTTTGCAGACCAGCAAATTTGTAAACGCACTGTGCGATAGAGCGCAGGATGGGCTCAAATTAAAAGAAACATGGTGTAAAGAACACTTACTGTCGATCAATCCCAAGAAGACTGAGATGGACCTTTTCACCAGGAAAAGAAGTTTAACGGGCTTAAAACCTCCCGAAATCTACAAAAGCAAACTAAACTTCTCTGAGGAGGTGAAATACCTTGGTACTATCCTCGACAAAACGCTAACATGGAACTCTCATCTACAGAGTAGAGCACAAAGAGCATACGTGGCTTATGAGCAATGTCGAAGGACAGTGGGACGCGTATGGGGTCTTCCACCCCGTGTGGTCACCTGGATCTACAATGCAATAATAACAACAATAACGTATGGGGCCATTGCATGGGGACCGAAAGTTCTACAAGCAACGGCCATCCAAAAATTATATCAAATACAGCGACTGGCTTGTTTAAACATCACAGGGGCCATGAGAACAACACCAACTGCGGCAATGGAATTGATCACGGGTCTGACCCCTCTGGATCTGTACATTAAGGAGGTTGCGTTAATGGCCATGGTACGATTACGCACGGCTGGTGTAAACCTCGAAGTAGGGATGGGTCAATTGAGGCTTGGCCTATGGCGGGAATCGCTTACTGCGCAACCTCTGTTGCAGGCAACAAGTGATGCAATTGAACCCAGGTTTGTGTTTAATAAACCCTACAAAATACAAATTAAGCAGAACACAGAGTCAGATGCTACAAATGCAATACGGATTTATACAGACGGCTCTAAAACAAAAGAAGGCTCAGGATGTGGAGTGTACTCCAGATCACTAAACTTAAGGATTAAGTGGGGAATGGGAAGAAATACCAGCGTGGTCCAAACGAAACTGGCTGGTATCCCAATCGCCACAAAAAAAATAACCAAAAAAGGAATTTCTGGCAAAAACATAACAATCTGCACTGATAGCAGATAAGCACTATTAGCCTTGAACAGACAGCGTGTTTACACAGGGCTAGTATTAGAGTGCCACCAAGATTTAGCCAAAGCCTCGGTGGATAATAACATTATCTTGACGTGGGTTAAAAGGCACGTTAGGAGTGAAGGTAATCGCATTGCCGACTCTTTAGCCAAGGAAGCGGCTGGACTAAGAATTTTAGGACCCAGTCGCACCCACGGCCTGATGACTTCGACAATTGCGGAACAAATCAAATATTACATCCATGCTCAATCCTTAAAGAGATGGGATGGAATCAAAGGATGTAATTTTGCCAGGATCACCTTCGGCGACCCTGGGAAGCTGGATCCGAAGAAATATCTGGCGATGACAAGGAAAAATCTACGCCTTACAGTAGGATTTCTGACTGGCCACTGTCAACTAAGGAAACAACTCCATAATATGAGGCTAGTGGACACACCTCTATGCAGGATGTGTGAACAGGAAAATGAGACTGTCAGGCATGTCCTGTGCGAGTGCCCGGAGTTATCGTCAATAAGAGAGTGTGTGTTCGGCGAGTCTTGGCCTACACCTGCCGATATAAAGGATATGTCTCCCAGCGACCTGTCAACCTTCCTGGAAAGGACAGTATGGACGATGACCTAGGAGGACAACCCCTCGGAAGGATGTACAATGGTTCACATGTGGCCTAAGTGCGTGGGCTTACACTCACCCTCCATCTGTATCTGAAGGGATACAGATTCTTTCACTCACAGAAACTGAAGTCAGTGCTTCAACCTACCCCTTCAATTTTCTATACCCCGGCTTTGATTTTCAATTCTGATTCAGACGAAATTCTGGAATATATCATTTCATCCGAAGCGATCTTTCCTGTCAACGAGAGGAAATGCTGGAACCCCAAGACTGATGTTATGTGATTTGAAATGAAATCACAGAATATGACTTCATTCATCGTGTCTTTCGACCACCACGCGAAACAAAATATAGAGCACTATTCCCTTTACTTGCAAACACCATTGACTTTCTGCAAGTCAATCATCCCAGTGCCAGAATTTCCACAATATCGAATGGTTTGAAATGTTTGACTGAATATCAACAGAGAACAAGGTCGCGAAATTGAGGCTTCTGCAATAAGCAGCGGACTTACTAACATTATGAATGAACCAAGCAGAATTCCCGATCGTGACGGGGAACATGCTAGTCTTCTGGATCTATACTTAAAAACCAATCCAGAAATTTGCATTCACCGTAAGGTCTTCAAAAGGCGAGTTGCCTGTGAAAGATAAACAGCATGCACACTGTGCATGCTGTTTTTAGCGAGTGCATTGGCTTGGCATAAGACGGTTGAGCAAACCTGCCATCGAATGCCTGCTTCCACGTAGCCCGGGTGGATACGGGGATGTCAGAATAACTTCTGTCATTCCCTAACTGAATGGCATCCCAACAAAGGCCTTATCCTAAGGTGTGTGTATCCGTGCCGAGAGGATGAATGACACTCAGCCTATCAGCTTTTCCTAGCTACCCGTGGGACTTTTATGGACAGAGTAAACTCAAAAATTTTTTCTGACGCTGAGTCAGTAAAGGAGATGAATGTCGAGCTTATCCCTCCAACTGACCTACCTGTAAATTTAGATCATGAGCGGGTCTACGGAAGAGATAGATGTCGAGCTTATGACTCTATGTAAATTTAGATCCGGAGCGAGAGCTTCTTAACTCTCCAACTCGTGATCCAATAACTGAATCTGAAAAAAGATTTGGTGGTGCAGTCAGGAAACGACTGAGTCGTTTCCTCAAGAGCGGGGTACCTAATGAAACCGCCTTGCACCAAATTCTTGAGCTGCGTACGCATAATCTGTCGCAGGTAATGGAACAAACCCCCAAATGAGCAGGGGCAGAAAAGCCCTGCACGATTAAGTCTAAGACATCGTCAGGTGTAGCTGATGTGCAAAAACCCTCTAATGGAAGGTTGTCGCGGGTAGCAGGGTGGAAATCTTGCACCTTGACTATCCGACTACTTCATTTAGGATGAAACAGCAGAGCATATACTTTGTGCCTACCCCACTGGGGACCGAATCAGGTTTTTAGAATTCGTCAGAGCCATATTGTTACCATTTGACATGAAAGACCACTCATCATACAAACTGATCGGCTTCGTTAAGAAGCTGGGTTTATTTGGTCGGGT